ATGTTTACTGCATGGTACAGTATCTACGCTCTAAGTTCTCTCACTTCTCTACCTGTCAGTTAAAAACTACATCATAACTTACAAGTTTGAGTGACGAGAATGTACGACGACCTCCGCGCGCGTGAGGAACGTTGTCCTCAGCGTGAGGAACCTCGTCCTCAGCGTGAGGAACCTCGTCCTCAGCGTGAGGAACCTCGTCCTCAGCGTGAGGAACCTTGTTCTCAGCATGAGGAACCCTGTCCTCACCGTGAGGAACCATGTCCTCACCGTCAGGGACCTTGTCCTTGACCTTGTCCAATAATTGTTTTATTATTTATTTAAAAAATTCAAAACAAACATTTGTATTTTATTTGTATTAAGAAAAAATCAATTCCTTAGTCCTTCGGCAGCCGTTGTTGCGTCATATCAATGGCGTCAGCGAGTCAATATGATTCTCGTCGTCATAGTAATATGGCGCAAACGCGTCCAAATTTTTTTTCATATTGACTCTTTGACGTCATTTTGCTAATATGAATGTGAAAAATCCATATTTGGTTAGCCATTGAGTTGATATGACAATTTCCCAGACTTGGCTGTTAGCCAATCAGAAACCAGGATTTTTAAATGAATAATAAAAGTATATGTTGTACGATTCACTTCACACGCTGGTTTATATTACAAATTTATTAGAAAGCGCAAAATAAAAATCCGTCTCGTATATATTCACAATAATTCTCCCTTGTGTAACACTGTCTTTTGCACATGGTGACAATGTTTGCACTCTTGAAAAATAGTCACCAACCGTTCAAAATTTCCTTTCTTTTGACAAAAAATAATAATTTTGAATAGAATGATCTAATTTTAGCTGGTATTTTATGTATTTAACCTAGAGATTCGAGTTTTAAACACATTAATATATCAATGTACTTTGATAAAACAGGTATTTTTCGGGTTAAAACGTCATGGAGATTGCGGGAATAGGGTTGCCAAAGCCTTAAAGGAGATGACTCTCCCTGATATAGTAGTTGGAAATTGTATTTATTTAAATTTTATGTTGCTTACAACTGCTAAACAATATGGAAACTAGTGCTTATTTATTACAAGCTGATTGTAATGTTAAAGTCAGCATTACATACTGTATTCTTGCCTATAGTAGACCGCTCACAGTCATATTTCGGATAATATTTTGGACCATAATTTCGATTCTCTTTGAGTTTTTTACTTGTCCGCGATGACGTAGGGG